TAGTGGTTGCAAACGATACTACTTAAAATGTAACTAAAACCACAAAACCCCCCAAAAAAATGGAAAAAGTAGTCAAGCAGCACTTTAACCTTTTCAAACCATGCTGAACACAGCCAGTGCTGGCTGCAGATGGGAGAGACAGACTCGTAGCACTGCATCACTTGTCTGGAGATGAGTCTGGAATGGATTCATGGAAGGGGGAGGAGAGAGGCGACTGCTAAACGAGGAACATAATGTAAAGGACACATTCAAATCTGGCTTGCCACTTCTGCGAGTCATATGCGACAGAAAAATTCTTTAGCAGCGTTTAATGCCCATTGGCAAGCTGTAGCTCTTGTGCTTAAGTCTGCTTGGGAACCCAGCACACAAAAAAAGAAGACAATATACACTGAGGCATTTTGATACATTCCAGGTTTCATACTCTTCAACTAGTAATCTAACAAATAATTTACTATGAGAGCAACATTTTTGCTTAGGCTATTCCAATTCAACATCTGCAACCAAAACTCACCAGTACTACAAGAACTAGGGACAGTAGCTACTCCCTATTCTGCACCTTTCTAGCTAAAATCAGCTCACACTCCTTCTCAGCGTTCCACATTACCGGTGATAACGCATTGAGGTCACACCTGTGTGGCACCTTTTTTTACAGGTTAATAATAACCGACTTGTGAAACCCTGCAAGACTGGGTGCATTTTTAGTTAAGGAATGAACAGAGTGGTGTAAATGACAACAGATCTTAAGAATCCTTTAATCAGGCTCCATGTAAAATGCAGCACTCTGTTTTATTTAGAGTTGTTACGTTGCATGCAATCGACAGAAAAAAATAAATTAGCTTTAAAATGGATTTGCAGCCTCCTTGTTCTCAGCTACTCCAGCCTTCCACTGGAGCAGTTTATCAACAGTGTATAATCACAGAGCTCAAACACAGATTCCAAAAAGACGCCACAACTACAAACACTTTCCAGGCTAACATCACAAGGCTTCTCTCATTCTGGGGTAATTTGGGTATATAACCACAATCACATTTGACTTTAAAACATCATCGAGGTTTTACCATAGGATTACAAGCACATGACTATGATTCTAATAAAAAAGACATTCTAGACAGAGACATTCAATGTTATTGAAGGCTTTGTCAGAAGCAAAAGGGCTCATGTAAATTAATGTACTTGGATATTAGTAACCTTGTAATGGCTCAGCTTAGCAGCCTCTAAGCATGAAACAAATGTATGTCAATCTCCTTTTAATTTATCTAAGTGGCTAAGACAACCAGCAACTAAATTAGATTGCCTGAAAAGCCTTTCCCTCAATCACCTTATTATTACTTAAAAGTGCCTGGGTCAACAGCCATTTGCTACATATTGCACACAAAAAAACCTGTGTAAGTATTGCAATTTCAAATACAAAATTAACTTTCATTTGATATTTGTAATACAGATTCAAATTTCTGCAATAAATTAAACCTGTCCGAAAACAGTGGTTAAGCATTTGAAATAGAGCTATAATTAGTTAAAAGAATCGGTTTTAATGACGCTTGTAAAAACATAAAAAATACAAAACTGGATAAAAAAATATATTTTTTATTTGAGAATTATTTTTACATTTATTTTGATGATCTAGATTTTTCCTTGCATTCAGCCCAATAAATAGTTGAATTGATCCAATGTAAAAAATAACGTCTTGATTGATCTATTCTTTAAAAAACAAACAGCCAAACAACATAACAGTGTTGTAATACAAAAGCCCTGAAACTTCAGAGCTGCTGAAAGAATTATGTAAACAGACATCAATTCCCTGGTCATTGCAAAACGGAATTAGAAACAATTAAAGGATTTGCCAGAAAAAGTTAGATTTGTGTATTAGCCAAAATAAGTCGTAGCACTTTCATCTAATGTGAAGTGAGTTGAAAATTGAGTTAATTTATTTGTTTTGGCTCAGAAGCACCTCCTAAACTTTCACACATTTAGGGAAGGGTCACAATGAAAGTCACATCTTGCCCTTTGGAAGAAACTCCGCTGGGATTTCCATCAGAACTCCAACAAAAAAAAGAGATGAGATTTTTCATATGCTGCATTGCCAGTATAATTAAAAAGACGACAAGCTTTGCATAGTAGGGTAAGGCATCAGCCTTTTAATCGTGCTTCTTTGTGAAAACCCGTGCTATCAGCCAACAGCTATAACAAAATGAGCACAATCTATAAAACTGATCATAGGCATCATTGAGCATAAATCAGAAAGGTTTTTAGCCCACATAGCAATGGAAAAACACAGAAGATTTAATAAAGATAGCAGATCAATTCTGACCTATTCATCTACATTTTAGATCTGGAATAAACCGAACCTCAAAAACAACTATACAACATTCTTCTGCCATGCCTCTCTAAGAAAAGAAATCAAATTGGAGCTACTAGATCATGAGTTTGTTAACCTGCCTGCCTTCCCTACTCTTCTGTAATCAAAATCCACCTGTAAGACTTTTTGACATGGTACATTTTGTACATGGTACAAAAGCCACATGGTAATGACTAGTGGTTTCATCGAACATTGATATTGGAGCCATAACATATATTAAATATTACAGTTCCATCTCATAACAAAGGAGGCACAAATGACAGTGAGGTGCCACAATCCCTCTACACCCTGCTCAATGCAAGATGACAGGAGACCATGCCATTATCATGTGAAGATACTGTAATAACACATTTTGTTTAAAACAGAAACATGAGTAACACTCTGGATTTTGAATGACCCAACATCAATGCCATGTGTCAGCAGTTTTAAAGCCGAGGTTCATGATCCAGTTGCCTGGATCATTTTGTCCACAACCAAACCCTAATAAATACCATTTAACAACAGTTTAAAACCTACTCAGGCAGCAAAACTCAACACTTCTCCTTGAAGCAACTGATAGCCAGGCATTCCACTGCATTTCAAAAGGTTTTGGAAAAAAACAAACAAAAAAAACAGAACCTTCAGGGTTACTTTTTGAGAATAGTTTTCATTCTTCTAGGACCACACAACCTAAAGTACTGCACACTCTCACTACAGCCAGCGGTGAAAATACATAAACCACAGCCTTTAATTACTGTTCAAACAGAATCAGCAATGAAAATGTGGTACAAATCCATATAGTTCTCCATTGCTATTGTACACCTGACTTCTGCAGTACTAATGGATTATTACAAACTCGATAGTGAACTTTTTTAAGGAGTTGAAAAGAAGGAAATCTTCTTTAAATATTTACAGTCTAATCAGCAAGGCAAAAGCACAATGGGGTTCTATGTGCAAAGCAATTACAGCAATCACGAAGTGTCTATTATCTGTCATTTATCACTTTTTTTAATTGGTTTTGAGATATAGTATTTGATTTGACAGCATATGGCCACACATCTCAGCATCTCCCGTTTTAACACTTACATTTAAAAACCACAAAAGCAGGTGAGTCTAATTTACAACTTTCCAATTTGGAAAACAAAAGGTCACTAATAACCACTAATAACTTTCTGGGTACCCTAAGACAAGTTTCTGGAATTAAATGTACTATGAGAGCTGTGAGAAAGCTCCACTTAATCCCAGAGCACAAGCATCCAAATGCTAACTTCAAACATTAACTCCATGATCAGAGACAAACTGAATGGATTATTTAACCAGATCACATATAAGCAGGCTTTCTGGAGTTCAGATAACAAGCTGACCTTGAAAATTCCCAGCTCCTAAGCTCTCTAACTTCATGCAGTGCACGTTTGCCAGTTAACAATTCAACTTTTATCTTGCAGGCAAATGCTTTTGTGAAAGATTGTTCCTCCCGGCACTGCTTTTAAACATGCCAGACACTTTTTTTACTATACATTCCCTTCTTTCATGTCCACTGATGAGGAGGAAACCATTTTTATGTACAAAGTGCACTGTGAGCGATGCGTGTAGGCATATATGCTTGTTCAACCATACTAACAAGTGTTTGTTTTATCTAAATTGTTACACCCAACTGTAAACTTCACGCAAAAGGTTTTCCAAATATGTCTTTGCCATGGCGCTTTCATTGTGATTCTTCTAATTAAATGCTCTGTACCTGGTCTAGACAAAACGGATTTAGGTAAAACACTTGAAACTAAGAGAAGAAAAGTGCGTCGTGTACTGGAACATCGTAAACTGTATTAACAAATAAGTAATCGCTTGGGTTAAAAAACTAAAACTCAAAAAGCAAGATGTTGTGCTGTACTTAAAACTCAACCGATTGTTGCTGGGGTATAGCGATAAGACGTTAGTCTTCATCACAAGATAACTGTCACTCCTTAAATTACTTTTAAAAAAACCCGTGTCCCGTCCCAGTTGGAACCCTAAATTTTACAGAAAAATACCGCAGGTGCAACAGAATAAAACACCTAATACTATATTGCATTGCATAGTAAAGTTAAAACACAATACCCTTGAGCAAAGTTTTGCTGAGGGTACCTGTTCAATGCTCATTTTACAGTTGTGGTCACTGTACAACACGCTAACGCTAATGTTTAGTTAACATTTTATAGGATCACACAAGGGATACTGGTATTTTCTTGGGGTGAATGGCGATTCCGAGAAATATTGAACTTTAAAACATGAAGACTATTGCTGCTCGTGCAGGAGAAATGTTACGTCAACAGACATCCTTTCCATACAAATTCCTCTGAAACCATCCATAGCAATGCATCTGAAACAACCGCAATATATCTCAATGAATTAAGCCTGGCAGAAAGGAACTGCTACCAAGTTGTAAAACAAAGTTGCAATATGCATGTTTTATTGTTAAGTCCACTCTAGTCCCCACTTCTAGGTAGGAGCCATCTTGTGACCACATAACCATCCTCACATAACTAGTACAACTCGCCCCCTCCACCGACCCCCACCTCCCCAAAGAAAAGTTACAGAATACAGCGATCAAAGTAACCGACCGAATGCGAAAATAAATTAAAAGAACCGTCCGACGTAAACAGAAAAAAATAAATAAACTTTTCCCTACCTGCACGATCTCGCCCTCCGCACTGATAGTAGCTCCAGCTTTTGAAAATCGTCCCTGCAAACCTGTAGTGTAAGTCGTATAATCTCCATTGGGACTGGACTCAAACAGCACCACTTCCACAAAGGCAGTATCCTTGGCCAGCACGGTACCGAGAGAAGCGGTCACCACCAGGAGCACCAAGACCACCGAATCCGCTACACAATCTAACCCTCTCCTTGGTAAAATCATCATCTTGCCGGTTGGATCAGCGCCGATCGGAACATAATTTCCAGTTTTTTTGGGGGGGAGATAAAGCCCTTGGCTGATTTTGCAATGGAACCCCAGTGAGAAAGTTAGCGCACACAGTTCTTGTCTTTTCCTGATTGTGCAACGAGAACTCAGTGCCGCGGACTGAACGTGTTTATTTCACCATTGCAACCTTGTCAATTACAAGAGTACGCTTCTCGCTCCAACCCTTGGTTTCCCTCTCTCTCTCTCTCCCCCTTTCCAGCTCTACAAAGCGGATCTCCTTTGATCTCCAAACACGTGATTTTTTTAGATTTTTTTTTTTCCGAAAGGGTTATCCCCACCCACTAATCTTCATGACCCTTCACTTTCCACTCCCAGATTTCAGCTGCCATCTCTCGGTTAAGGAGGCTCGTTAGTGTTTTAGTAAACAGTACCTCCGGGAGGAGGAATGACAGAACGGGCTAGTATCTGGAAAGAGAATTGTTTTTTTTTCCTGCACAGGAAACATTGTAACAGTGAAATAGTAAACTTCTAAGTGCAGATGCGTATATATAAATAATGGGATCGCGACACATATTTATTATTATTTTATATATAATTATTGTTTCACATGTGTACTTTAGTTTAGAAGGGTGTTATCTGTTTGGTGTTTATTGATTGTTCGTGTAACTTCTTTACATCAAATAAACTGCTGAAACATTTCGAGATCTATTACCTTAAACCGAGCATATTCTCTTTCAAAACACTCGCATGTTCAAGCAACGCAACTTTTTTCAAAACCCCCTTCGAAGCTTAAATTTGGCTTTGCTGACGTCTTTTTTAATTTTCCGCCAAATGTATCCGAGAATTTCTTCAGTAAGCGATATTCCCTTCTCCACGGTTACAATTCAGAAGCCTTAGATGTAGACTTCAAGCCTTGAGGAATTAGCCAACTTCAAAGCCTGCGTGGTTTACTTAGTTTTACAGTTAAGAAATCCCTTTTATTTAACAATCTTTCCAAATTGGATTTCTTTGAAAGAGAAAAGATTCCACATAAGACACCATGCAGTGTGTCACATTTCAAAAATTGGAATGCAACCCTTCATTTTTCTAATTTTCAGACAGACTTTTTTTTTTCCTGCACAAAACGATCTAAATCCTGCGCACATCGGCTACTGCGCATTCTTTTTCCAGATTTGGAATAAAACCCAATGACTTCAAAGTCTTTTCCAGCTCATATTCTCCATCTATGAAAGGTAGATTATGCTAGAGAGCATTTAGCTGGCAGAGGAATGGGGGAAAAACATCTTTTTTTTAAGTGACGTTTGAATTTTGTTTAGTAACTCAAGAAGGAAAGTTTTGCTACTCGGACTAAAACAATATTGCAAAGCAATTTCATTATAAGGGAGATAAAAAAATCTAGCAAAATTTAAAGAAATTTAAAATCCATAATTTTTTAAGCTGTTTTAGTGATTGCTGTGTCCAGATTAGATCTCAAAAGCTAAACAAGGTTAGGCCAGTCACTACTGGGAAGAGAGACCACCTTGCTATTATAAACAGTGTTGGTAGACCAGTAGGTGGTGTTCTTCCCACTGGGCCAGAATTTGCAAACAAATGCCCCAGTATGTTGTGTATGAGGTGTCGTCCTTCAGATGAGATGTTAAACAGAGGTCTTGACAACTTCGTCATTAAAGTTCTCCTTGCATTTTCAATAAGAGCAGGGGTGTTAATTCCAGTGTCCTGGCTAAAAGTCTAAAAATTTCCTCCTTAATTTGCCTGGTGATGAAATTCCTCACCCCTCCACCTGATCTGTTATGTAGGGAGCTTCTGGTTCAGAATAGGTGCTGGATGTCACCCGGCAGGTGGCTGTACTTCAGAGAAGGATGAAGTGTAAGGCACTTTGTATTCATTATTCAGTATGAATCAATTATCAGTTGGAGCTAGCAATATAATTATCAATAGAAAGTAGAAATATTTCTATATTTCAATTTGCTTCTTTTCGGTTATTAGAACTCTATTGAAACTGAAGAGACAGTATTGAATAATTAGACTATTCCTCAACATGAAAGCACAAACTATTTCAGTTTTTGGGACACTATTGTTTTTTACAAAATCAAAAATGACACATACACTAAATAGTACCAAAACTGGTTTAATAATGTCCACCAACTACTTTACTCTGTGTGCTAAAAATGAAGAAGAATAGTACATTTTCCATATTACTATTACAATGTACTGTATGAATGTCCTGTCATCTATTGTTAACATGTTTAACAAAGGGATGTTTGTGAAGGGTTATACAATTGCTGGAGCAGTCCTTGGAATCTCTTGCCCGCTGTCCTCCATAAGGTCTGTGGGCTTTGCACTGTGAACGACATTTGTTTTTATACCCTGGCACTGCCCAGTCATGGAAATACTGAATCACAGCATCTTTGTCTGAAGAAAACAGGCAATGCAGTGAGAAACCAAGAGCCCAGCACATGGCAGTGTTAGTACTCCATCCTTTCTCAGAGTGTCTAAGGTTAAGTACACTGCAACTCCAGCGTGGCAAACAACTTTGAAAGAAATCAGATCCATTGCTACATTGTAAAAAAAAAACACTGTTCCCAATTAGAAACGGACTAAATAGCTTTGAAGACATTCACTGTTGAAGGAAGAGAAAAGGTTGACAAATTTTCCAAGACCCAGAGATTTCAGAAAATGCATGTGTGTTTTTGGAAAAATAAAGAATATAGCCTTAACCACAGCCATAACCTTGGAAAGTTATGGTTTTCATTTTGATTTATTTCATTCACACCTGACCCTGATATATTTGAGTGACCATGACTGTTACATGAGTACTTAATAACTTCATCAGTGAGAGAGATGCCTGTGAAGAGGTCATTTTCCTTCTGGAATGTCAAGCGTGATGAAAATTGAAGTGTGATAATCTGGCCAGCGGTGCCCAGTGGCGTACAGGACTACACTTGCAGTGATTGATAAAAACCTGACTGCATTGCTAAAACTGACTGGATTACATACTGGACCTCATCTGCTGTCCTTCCTACTGTATCATCCTCATTGACAATATTCGTGTGAGATAATGCACCATCTCCTGATGTGACAAAATTTTCTTGCAAAATGAAAATATGACCGTTACCCTGGATGCTCTTCTCAGCTAGCTTGTCCAACATTTGGCTTCTAGAGCACAGAGACCAGTGAATATGCATGCTCAGGCCTTACCAGCAGAATGGGACAAAATGTCAAGGCAAGACAGCAGTGGTTACCTGGTGCAAAGCGTGTGTTACAGATATACAGTACAATACAGTCTGCTTCCAATGGTGGGCACACAAGCTCCTAGTCTGTCACAGTAGAGCCCTTGTTGATGGCAAGTGATAATCAGCATAATGATTGTATGTGTCATGTCTGTGTGTTCAATAAAATGTCAGTTTACCTGCTACAAAAAAATAATTTTCCTGAGAACAATTTTTTGGAATTGTTATGGTGCTATGTCACTTTTGATGTTCAGGATAGACCAATGAGATAGAAATAGATATTTAAAGGAATGCCCATCCAGATAATGCTACAGATCTGTCTTAAAGCTTCTTATTCTGCCTTTTTCTGCATGTAAAGTCAAAGTTAGCCTGTGTAAGACAGTTCTGTCTCCTGTAGTGTTGGTTTTGGATGAATAGCTAATCAATGTTTATATCCTTTATAGAGTTTAGACACCACAGTTATTTAAAATAGGATCAGGGCAGATTGTTCCCTTCATAAATTCTACTTCAAGTTGCCATAAGAAGTAGCTGAGCTCAGACCTAAACTTTAAAGTCAACAATAGAATCATTTGTCATTATATACAGTATATATAAATGCTCTTCTTAGAAAACAACTCAGATAGTCTTGTTATAAAGTTTAACAGAAAATGTCTTGTGATGACAAGAATATTGTCTTTGGGACCAATAATACGATGATGATTAAAATGTAAACATCTTGTCACTACACAAAAATCACCAATAAAAAATGACATTGCACAGGGGTTAAGGTTGAATTGAAGTGTGCTTTATGTAAAACAATCGCTCGGTCTTTTTAGGTCAAGAATGCAACAGTCTTGACAAAAACACAGAGTTAAAGAGCTTGAAAATGGTACCCATATGTTTCAGCTGAGAATGTTAAGTTAAGCAAAACAATTCAAAGAACCAAGCTTGAATCTCAAGCAGGGATGTTTTGCCTGTAGCAAGTCAATTATTTGCTGGTCATGTTTCAGTGATATCATCCAAGTTCTGGATTATGATCAGGTCCATATGTCCTGTCACGCACAATTCTGCCCTCTTTACGTTGCCTGCTCTTGGAGAGCATAAGAACTAGCAAGAAGTGTGTGAAGTGGACAATGGAGGGCAACCTTATTATGGAAGAAGAAAGGTTCTGAGAGAACAAGATGGAGTGAAGGTATATGTGCTGGAATAATGGACAGCAGTAAAGACAAATTAACAGTTTTGCATTATAAGGTTTATCCCATGCTGAATGGAAAAGAAACACAATGTGTCACACCTTTTCTTTTCCTAAACCTTTACCTGTTCCTTTGCAGCCGACAAAAACTGATGCAGCTACCTACTTGAAAGTATTGCTTTATGCTTTCCTTCATTTATACTGAAGGTGGAACTCTAAACAAGCATTAAGTTTCAGTAGTTAAGTTAGACAGAAAAGTGCATTGTGCTATTTTCTTCATAGAACACTGGGGTCTGAAATTGGCTCTTGGGTGTGAAAGATGAAAGTCAGGCAGGATACAGTGCCTCAACCCATACACTCTTTCAAGTGGGACTATAGCATCAGCACCAAACAGAAATTTGTGTTAAACACGTTAGTCTCCAAAATACCATCCATCTATTTATTAACCACTTCTTCCGATTCAGGGTTGCAAGCAAGCCAGAAACCATCCTGGCAAGCAATGGGAGCAAGGCAGAGAACACAACCTGGACAGGACACCAGTCCATCACAGGGCAGACAGACACAGCTGCAGACACACACACCAGAGCACACAGAGGAAACCCACACTAACACAGGGAAAACAAACAAACTCCACACATATAGCAGCCCAGACCTGGAATTGAATCTCAGGCCCCAGCACTGCAAGGCAACAATACTGACCACTGTACCATCGTGCCCCCTCTCCATGATTCACAAATGACATCTTTCTGAAAGAACTGAATAGTATGGACAAAAGCTGAAGTCAGATTGGCATTACTGCGACAGTTTGTTTGTGGCAGGCTGAAGTGTTGTTAGGGATAT